TTTTGGGGAGGTGTGAGTAGCTCAACGGTCTAGGAATAAGGGGGGCAGAGCTGAGGAATTAGAGCTCACTTTGGCCTGCATACAGTATAGATTCCCCCTTTGTTCACCCACATGCTCATTCTTCAATTTAGGCACGTGTTCATTGTGTTCGTCAATGGGTGCTAACAGTCACAGAGGCCTGGGCCGGGCCACTCACGTTAGGTGGTGCCATGCTGGACAGTAAGCACCTCCGATGATGGAGATGGGAAGACAGTGTCTGGGCTGACACCCACCTGTGGGAATTGGGGGGGAAATTGCTCCTGGTGGACACAGTGGATGTTGAGGTTCAGACAGCTAGGGATGCTAAAGAGAACTTAATTGCAAGGGAGTAATCTTTTTTGTTTGTTTGTTTGTTTTGTTTTTGTTTTTTGCTGGTTCACATCCAACCATCTCATTTCTTGGCTTTAATAATATAATAATACTAATTGCACATGGCTTTTTAATGGCTCACCACTGCTAAACAAATTTCTTCACTAGACCCTGAAGCCCTTTCATAGTATGACTCCATCTGGGACCCCAATCTTACTTCCTGTTCCTCTTCTAACCTCTGTGCAGTGATTCTCAATTTCTGGGCTGTAGACCTATGGGCAGGGGCATGGAGTTTCAGGAACGTGTAACTCTGTGCACCATGCCAAATATGGGCTGCATCCCAAATCAATAGTATGTAAAAACCTAATTTGAAAGAGTTGTCAATGTCTAGCAGCTCTTTGTCATTATGTGTGTTCTTGGGTACTAAAGTTCAACAATTATTATAAGAAAGGGCCTGCGTTATGGTAATGGTGTTCAAACTGGGGTCCAAGGATCCCCTCAGAGAGTCCCTGAAATAGAGCTGGGGGAAGGATCAGGATGGAGCCTGAGCAGATGGGACCACCCCCACCCCACCCTCCAACACACAACTAACTCATCCCCTCCCCTTGCAACCGGAGCATCTCTGCTTTTACAACTTTTGCACACTGGCCTTTCTGGTAAGATTTTATTTGAAAAAAGGACTCTGCTGGGGGATACAGTGGGGTGGAGTTTACAGGCAGTGGCTGAGGACAAAGTACATGTACCTCTAGCTTGCCACTTGCTAGTGTCCAGGGGAGCAGTGAGAACTCTGTCACAGCCCTGCATCGGCCTACCATGAGTAAATTGTGGTGTGTAAATGGTGCAAGGGAAGCCATTCCCTCTGTCCAGACCCACTGAGGAAGCGCCTCAGGTTGGTTAGTTTGTTAGATGCATTAAGTCCATCTGGCTCTTGGACATAAAAGATGAAGTTGCACTTTAGCCAGTCCTATTGTCAATGCAAAAAGTGTCCCTTTTCCTCATGTAATGCACCATTTACCACTGTCCAGGGAGGGAAGGGAAACCCCCTACATACCAGCTCTTCTTGTGTGTCAAAGTTCCCAGTGGAGTAGTGGTCACTTGGGCCTATTTTCATCCCTGAATTTCTTGTTCATTGGGCTGGTGCCTCCCACCCAGGCCTTTGGACCACATAGCTTGCCCTCAGGTACCTTGAGCCAATAAGAGGTGGCAAAGCAGAACCCTGAGAGAGGACTTCTGGAAATTCTTCAACTGAGCCTCTATCTTCTTAGCCTGGTTTCAGAGCAAAAAATAAAGAAATGCCCCAAGCATTCTAGAACAGTGCTCATTAGCATGTGAGACTCAGGCAGGAGACTGGAAGGGATGCCTTTGTCCCTGCTTTTCACTCTGCTGTCCACACATACCTGTAAAAGCTGCCTTCCGAACACGCAGACTTGGGGTAAATGCTACAAAAGGGATGGCAGAACTCTCTTTTATGAACACCTCGTCAGAGACACAAGAGAAACAATGGCAAGCAGACCCAGGCCTGTCATGGCTATGACTGAGACAATTGGAATGTGTGTGTGTGTGTGTGTGTGTGTGTGTGTGTGTGTGTGTATGCACATGCACATGTGCACATTTCAGACTATAAATATGGCTCTGAGTTCCTGTGTGCTGGGGTAGGCTGAGGGGGCAAAAAGTTATGTGTGTGTCAGAGGGTTTCAGGGAGCACCCACACACCTAGATGCTCAAATTTATAGAGGGGGCTAGTGGGGAACTAAGGGAAAGTTTTCAGATTGGGAGAGTGTCTGTGTATGAGCACAGACCTCTGCTCATGTGCGTTGGGGGAAACAGGGGAAATTTTGTGTTTGGGTGTATACACATGCATGGCATGTGTGCATGCATTCAAGTGTGCAAAGGGGATGGGGCGCCTGGGTGGCGCAGTCGGTTAAGCGTCCGACTTCAGCCAGGTCATGATCTCGCGGTCCGTGAGTTCGAGCCCCGCGTCAGGCTCTGGGCTGATGGCTCAGAGCCTGGAGCCTGTTTCCGATTCTGTGTCTCCCTCTCTCTCTGCCCCTCCCCTGTTCATGCTCTGTCTCTCTCTGTCCCAAAAAAATAAATAAACGTTAAAAAAAAAATTTTTTTTTTTTAAAAAAAAGGGGAAACTGAAAGAAAGTTTCGAGAGTCTGTAAAAATTCTCAGTTAGAAGAATATCTGGCAACTCCCCATACCACAGGTTGGTACACATTCAGTGCTTGTGAAGTTTATTTCCTGTACTAGTTACCAGGCCTTGTTTATACAGGACACAAAATACGATTTAGAGCAAAAAACTCCAGGTATCAGAGGTGAATTGAGGGACAGTGTGTTTCAAGAGGGTGGGGAAGCAGAGTGGAAGGGGGGCGGTCACTACCCTGTGTCTTTTGAAGGACCAATGAAACCAATTTTCAATATCAATCCATAATTCCCACCCTTATATGCTTTGGAGAGAGAGAGAAGGTAGAGATCTAATTTTAAAATTCTGTCCTTCATTGCTCTGAAGCCATTTTAGCGCCCAGTCTGCTCATCCAATAGCAGCTGGACATTCTTGTGTGTTTATGTGTTTTTAAACTTGTCTGGCTTGTTCCACTCTGAGCTTTAGTTTGTGAGCCTGGCCCCAGGAAGTGTTTATGAGTTTTTTCACTGTGCTTTCCTCTGACTTGCTTTGGTTTGATGGCACAGAAGGGTAAAGCTTGACTTAAGCACTCTGTTCTTTGTTTGAGGGCCCCAGATCATATGGGGTCCTCAGGCTGTAATCCACAGTGAAGTTGGACAGTTTGACCCAACACCACCATGGCAAGCATATGAGCAGACATTTTTGAACACCTCAATATGGGGAGAAACCGCACTCTACAAACAAACTCCTTGGCATGCGACCTCCTCAGAGTTATCTTGCCAGTATTTTCATCCATGTGACACTCAGCTCATAATAAATGCTCAGGGTCTGCTAATTAACCATGGTGCAGTCTATTCTAATCAAGGGCCATGAAGCCATTATCAGGGTCAACAGAGCCAACATTGCTCTTCAGCACAGAGCAGGACTTTGTTGGATCAAGTGTCCTGAACACACGTGGGACTCTGATGCACCCGTGTGAGAGTCATGAGCCTCTCTCTGCTCTTGCTCCAGTCTAGACTCAAGGAAGGAGTGTTAAAATCTGGGTTTGGGGTTCTTTAAGGCAGAAAGCCCGATCCTATCAGGAAACCAAGTCTAGACAAAACAGAGCTTCGAAGATCACACCCACTCTTTGCTGGTGGAAGCAAAGAGTGCCAATCAGGGGTTATGTTAGGGAGCCTTATTGGGAGGCAGAGGAGCCATACCTTGTCCTCTCTCAGGCCAAGGTCTAAGCCCTGCTTGAGGCTGTTTCTGAGCACAGAGCTCCTATGGTGGGGGGACCCAAAGATGCTAATGGGGTCATTTCCCAGGCTTTTCCCTGGTCCAATGCAGGACTTCAGTTGTTTACGGTGATAGAGTTTGCTTTTTACTCCATCCCTGCTCTGTTGGCATCCTTCATCACCTTCAGGCAATTCACAATATCTCATCACTAAGAAACCCCCGAACAATAGCAGGACTCTAGAGATTGGGACCCATGACTCCTCAGTGAGTTCTGAATCTCTTTTGAAGCCATGCCTAAAGTTCAGGGAGAAGCTTGCCAAGGAAAAAGGCCTTGAGACAGCAGTGGAGATGGAGACAGTAAGGTACAGAGCATTATCCTTCATAGGACCTCTCGGCTGGGGAACTTTACATAGAGTTAACACTCTATGCAAGCTAGTGTAGCACTCTGTTGATCTGTGATTCCATTTAAGGCCCAACACAGCCCCCTTCCAGAGTGTTTCAGGCAACTGTGGTCGCAGCCTAGGAGATGTCCTTTCTTGGCTGGAAGTGCCTCCACCTGGAGCCGGGCCTGGCCCTGAAGGAAACAGGCTCCTGTGGGAAGAGATCTGCACTTGCCCCTCCTGCTCCAAGGCAGCAGCTTTCTGGGTGTCATCCGTTTGCCTGCCAAGACTAGTCCCTGGGGGGGATGCTGATTTTTCAGGTTTCCCTGCCTGTCCCCGCAATAACCCCAGCAATTACTTGCCCCCCTAACAGCCTTGGAAGGGGGCCTGATTGCATTTCCAGACAGCAGCATTTGCATCAGGAGCTCTTCACTCAGGTTTCCTTACAGAGGGGTTTGCTTTCAGGGAAGGGTGGGGTTCCTCTCCTCTGTCCTCCCCAGGAACCCCTCATACCCCTCCATCACTGTGCCTGTAATAGGATCATAATCCACCCCTTCCTTGTGTCTTCCCCTGCTAGCCTGGATGACCCTGAGGGCTGTCTTCTAGGCACACTGGTGAGTGGCGGGCAGCCTGGGGTCCTTATTGAATGAGGGTCATCTAGGGCCCAGAAGGCCTGCACTGAGTACCCCAACACTCACTAGCCATTGGGCTTTAGATAAAGGTGCTTTTCAAGGGGTCTGGCCTGAGTCTCCTCCCCATCCACTGATACTCAATGCTACATTCCTTTAATCTAAAATATGAAATTGTAGTTCTCTGAGCCTCTCAATGGATCATTTGTAGAGCCATACATGAAAAAACTTTATAAAATGACCAGTACAACATATATAAGGAGTGGTGTTATATTAAATCCCCCCAGCTCCCTTCATTACCATGATGAATGGAAGATCTTTCTGTGACTCGGAGGCCTGGTTCTTCCTATCTGTGCTGTTTCCCACGTGACCTTCAGTGAGTTGCTTTCTCTCAATGACTCTGTTTTTTCACCTGTGAAATGGAAGTACAGAATTGTCAGGACAAATACTTTGGACACTTAACTGAGTGGCATGATTGTTGGTATTGTTCTTTACGACCATTGTTTAAATGACATAGAGCCACTTTCCTGAAGAGCTATGTTTAGAAGGAACTAGACCTCAGATGTGGGATGTGGGATGTGGGAACAGATCCTAAGTCTGTCCTTTGTTGTCATGAAAGTACATCTCCCCAGTACTTCTCCAGCAGAGGGGTCAGCAAACCTTTGCAGCAAGGGACACAGAGTATATATTGTCAGCTTTGTGGGCCATAGGGTCTCTGTCACAACTACTAAAGCAGTCATAGACCATATATAAACGAATGGACATGACTGAGTTGCAATAAAACTTTTATTTACAAAATTTGGCCCATGGGCCATGGTTTCCCAACCCCTATTCTAGCTCGGGATAGGTGCTCAGGATAAACTTGGGAAATTGGTGTGTTGTCGATAGGTGAGTAGAGACCTCTGTGCTCATCCAGATCCTTGATTCTAATTCTGTTTACACAGGCCCAGATTCTGTGTTCCCACCATGGGGTCACAGCCACAAAGCCCTCACCTCTTACTTCACTCCCCTCCTCCAGCTCTGAGAGATCACAGGCTCGTGCAAACCCACCCACTTAATGGAGAGCAGAGTTTTTGTGACTTCCAGGATCTGTCCCCTTCCCCCGCCCTCCCCAGGGCCTTTCCCCTCCATCCAGTTTGTGGGACACACAATTTGTAATCTCCTTAAAACCAAAGAAGCAAGGTCTCTGATTCATGTAGATTAAAATCAGCTGCAACCTATTAATGGCCCAGAGCCCAAGACAGATTTTAGGAAACAAAAACACTGGACCAAATTAGACTGAACTGGACTCTGTCTCCAGGGGAGGGAGGTGGGGTAGGAGGCTGGGGGTGAGGGGAGTGGCCATGTGGTTTTAATTAATTTGGATTCTCTTCCTGAAGCTAATTCACCCAATACAAAGCATGTGTAGCGTCATGGAAGCAGCCAGCCTTGGAGCTGGGCTCTCCCTGGTGAAAGCCCCAGGTCCTGGTGGGGGGCTGGGGCTGGTTGTGTGTCTGTAATTAACAGGTTTCAAAGTGGTTATTTTGGAAAAGAGAATTTCAGTGGCGCGTTAAAATCCTTTCATCAACCATCAGCCTGCGTCCCAAGGCCTTCAGCAAGGCCCTGGCCACTTACGGCTTCAGAGAGCTTTGAATTCCCAGGGTCTTGTTTGAGAATGTGGAGGCTTTTGCCATGGGTTTTATTAGGCTGATGGTTGCCATGATTTTCATTATGTTGTTTGGTTACTGGGATCATAAAAATGTTTCTCTCTTCCTAGAGTACCTAAAAACATTAAAAAGAAAAGAAAAAGAAGAGCCCCTGCCTTTATGGAAGTTACATAACATACAAGCTATGACTCCCTCATGGGAAGGGCCAGCTCTGCCTCTGGGCCTGGGGGAATTGGAGGTGGGGCATATCACGAGGCTGGAAGAGACCAGGCAACCAGCCAGCATCCAGTTCTGACCCCACATCTGAGGAAACTGAGGCTTGGGAGATGCCCCAGCTGAAGCCAGTCAGGTCTCTTCTCTCAGACTCGATCGGGTGTTCCTTATCCTCCTGGTGCATCAAGGCAGTGAACAGAGTCAGAAAGCTAGTGAAGGAGTCTGAATTCCACCGGACTGGTGCTTTAGGACACTTCTAAGAGTAGAAGGAAATGGCAAACTTACATGTAGCTTGAAATCAAATGCTGCAGTGGACAGGGAAGCCACTTAAGCCAGTGCTGGAGGTCCTGATGGTGTCAATGGGGGGAGCTCTCCTCAGACTCTAGACTGAGGCCCTGAGGGGAGAAGAGTCTCTGGAGACTATCTTGGCACCCAGGGCCCTGAGCTGCAGAAAGGAGGGAAATAGGTACTAAATCCCGCAAGCCACAAAGATGATTTCTTACTGCTCTGAATAAAACTTCTGAAATCTGGTCAAGCGCCCAGAATCCCCATATGGGGTGACAGGAACTTTGAGTCTGTGTTATCTGATCAATGGAACGCCAGCCTGGCTTTATTTCCTATTTTGATGATGGCTACCTTCCAGAACCTTCTTTCATGAAGGACATGAAAAATATTTTGGGAGAGTTGCTATTAAATAACCTCTGGTGCTTAAAAACAATGGATGGTCTCCAGAGCAGCAGGCCTTGCTCTCAGTAGGACACCAGTTAGACCTAATCCACAATAAAGCTGTAATGCAGTTTTTCAGAGGTTTAGAGAGTGTCAGAACTGGGAGGGCAATTCAAGTCCAGTTCCCCCAGGCCAGTGTTACAGACAGGGAAACCGAGGCCTTAGAGCTGGAGTACAGGGTCCAGCCTATGGTTTCCAGCAATCCGGGTTTGCTCAACTACACCACTCTTCACCAGGCTACATTCCACTTTGCCTTAACGTTTTCATTCACTCATTCAGTACTTACTGATTACCTCTTATGTGTCAGACACTTCCAGACACTGCTAATTTTGTTTCTTTGAAGTTTTTAGAGATGAAATGAAAGAGATACAATTCTGTGAAATACATTAAAGAAGGAAAGGAAATCCCGCCCCACCCCCCCCCCCCACCCCAATCCAGGTTTTAGGAAAATGTTGAGCCTGGGCATACTAAAGAAACACCTGTTGTTCTGAGTATACCTTTCAGATGGCCAAATGATATCATTGTCACATAGAGATGGGACTTACCTAGGCTGCCTCTGCTTAAGATCGCCAGCTCACTCCCAACAGCCATCTGGGCAGCCTGTCCCAGAGGATTCTGGGACTGGAAAACATCAAGGGTTCTCTGGATCCAAGGTTGAGTGAGTGCTGGTGAGAACCCAGGCCTGTTGAAGGCATGCAGATGTACGGGTCCCTCAGTCTGTTTCCCATCATTCTCCTCCTCCAGTTCACTTGTCAGTCCTTTGCTCTTGTTTACCTCTGTGTGAATAATTCCTCGATTATAAATAGAGAACTTGGCACTGAGTTTTGGATTATCTGTGATCTTTAATTTTCCCAGGGCAAAAGAAATTAAACCAACAAATCTCTTTGTTTCTCATGGTTCAGTATCCAAGTCATGGAAGCACTGATCTGTGTAGAGTGAGCCAAGCCTGAGCCTCCCCACCCCTCCCCACCTCCTTGCACTCACAGTAAGAAGTCATGCATGCATTCATTCATTCAACAAATATTCAATAAGCACCTATGTGCCAGACTCTATTCTAGACACTGGAGATACAGAGTAAAAAAAGACAATGTCCCTCCTTACCCTGTTTACATCTTAGTGGGGGTGACAGACAATAAGCAGCAAACTAACCAACCACCACCAACAACATATATATATATATATGCATATGTATACGTATATGTATACATCTACATATATCAACCGGTGATAAGAGCCTTGAAAAAAAGTAACGCAGGGTAGAGAGATAGGGGTGAGGGGTGCACTATTTTACACACAGTGGAGTCAGGAAGACTTTTCTGGAAAGGTGACATTAGAGAAGAGGTTGAATGAAGAAAGAGTAAGCCATATTTGATCCCGGCAAAGAGCATTTCAGGTAGAAGGAACCCTAAGTGCAAAGGCCTGGGACAGGGACAAGTTTGATGTGTTGGAGAACAGCTAGAAGATCAGGGACCAGAGCAGAGTGAATGATGGGGATGACATGGAATAGAAAGAGAAATTGGGGAGAGGGGGGCAGCTCAGGGAAGGAAGACTTTGGCTTTTGTTCCGAGCATCATGGGGTGTCTTTGGAGGCCTTGGGGCAGGGGAGTGATGTGGCAGAGATGCACACTGGAAGGCTGTCGAGAAGCTGAGGAAAGCATGATGGCTCAGCATGGGTTAAATGTTTGCACTCAGACATGTGGCAGATGATAGCTGTACCTCACGGGTGGTGCCTGAAGTGGAAACCTTTGAGGGCTACATGTTTCAACAGGGTGGGGCTAGGCCTGGGAGCTCACTACCTCTATACCAATTAGTCTTAAGCCCAAAAAAAGGAAATGCTGATGTTTAAATAGCAGGTTTGGGACCTGTGAGTCATAGAACCTTCAATCAACTGGGCCACTATTGGTAAGCTCTGGGAAGGTGCTGGTGCAGGGACTCAAGCTTCTGACTGGGGTATTTGGACTCTTGTTGGGGCCTCTAGACATACTCAGAAAAATCAAACTCAAATACAGACCTGGCCTTTAGGTGGTCTGGATGTATTTTTGGCTGACTCTCTTGTCAGTTTCCTTCTCAGGGCCTTTCATTTTGCAAAATGCAGGCTACCTCACTGGAGAGCAGAGGGGAGAAGTGAAAGGCATAGGCTTTGGGTTCACTCAGCCTGGGATGTAACTCTTGCCTTACCACTTAACAAGCTTTCAAAAGCTTTTTGAAAAGCTACTTAACCTCCTAGAACTGCATTGTCCAATGCAGTAGCCACTAGCCATGTGTGGCTGTTTAAATTCTAAATCAACTAAAATAAAATAAAATAAAAAATTCAGTTCCTCGGTCCCACTTGGCACACTTCAGGTGCTCAATAGCCACATGGGGGCCAGTGACTATCATGGTACTGGAGAGTGCAAGTATAGAGCATTTCCAACATGGCAGGAAGTGCTATTGGACAGTTTTACTCCTTTAAAAAGGAAACAATCCATGAGAAATTAAAAAGTTAACATGCACAAAGCACAAGATGCTTTGCCTGTCTCATGAAATGTGCTCAGAAAATGATAGCCATTATGATTTATCATATGAATCTCTGTCCTGGCTCTGCTGCTGCCTAGCTATGGGGCCAGGCACTCAACTTCTCCAAGCCTCCATTTTCTCGTCTGTAAAATGGGAATAATAAGTAATGCTGAGTGAATTCCTCAGAGCATAACTTTATTTTTCTCAGTTCTCCCTGGATATATGAGAACCTCCTCACCAACCCTCAGAAGACTTATCTAGACCTGAGTTTGGGATTTCTAGTCCTGGCATACTTAGCAGGAGGCATGACTTACATCGTGGCTCAGTAATAGATTCTGGAGATTTTAGCCATCTTGAAGGGTTTGAATGTGGGTCGTGGTACAAAGTTCCAATGAAAACAAGTGGGCAAGTCTGATCAAGAAAAATAGTCATTTTATTTTTTTTTTAATTTTTTTTTCAACGTTTATTTATTTTTTGGGGGACAGAGAGAGACAGAGCATGAACGGGGGAGGGGCAGAGAGAGAGGGAGACACAGAATCGGAAACAGGCTCCAGGCTCTGAGCCATCAGCCCAGAGCCTGACGTGGGGCTCGAACTCACGGACCGCGAGATCGTGACCTGGCTGAAGTCAGACGCTTAACCGACTGCGCCACCCAGGCGCCCCGAAAAATAGTCATTTTAAATCAAGTCAGATATTTACCTAGCTTATGTCTTGGGTCCCCCTGCCCAGGCCTTGCTTCCTTGCCTAAATGTTTCTTCGTGGATCCAGCTCGCAGGGAAGGTTCTCAAACAGTCTTTCTGGTATCTTGGCTTCCAATCAGTCCTCCTTTTTCCACTTTGGGGTTTTGTTGTTGAACGTTTATTAACTGCAGGCATTTAGTGGGTGGAAGTTGGGATTTGCCTGGGGCTGGAAGGAAGTCATTTGCCAGGCCAGGATAAGGTGTGGTTTAAGAGTAGGAGCTGGAATCCCCTTCACCTGCTTAATTCATTTCAAGGGAGATTTGTTTTCAACTCCAAAATTACCTGCTAGGATTTCTCGACCTGAGATCCTATCTCCTCTGGCTGTTTTCTTTCATTTCCGATGATAAGAAAGGCTACGGGGAAAACAAGGACTGAGAAGCTCAAGAACATTCTTGCACTCTTTTAAATAAAATTGCACACAGTGAGTTATTTTCTTTACTGTCTTCTACAAAATAGCTAGTAGAAGGTCTGTACAAGCCATCAGAACCTCAGCTCCTAGGGAGGTGTGTCTGAGACCCGGGAGAGTAAATGCAACTGGGGTTTTACAGAAAACTCCGGAACAGTGAATGAGAGGGCAGGGGCTCTGGTCTGTTTAGCTCACGGCTCTCTCCACTGCCCTCTGGCACTTGGCTCAGAGCTGCTTGTCTCTGCCCATAGTGACCCAAGTTTCCCTGCCGTTGACCCCCTCTTGGAGACAATGGCTGTTCAGGGAGCCTGATCTGAGAATGAATAGAGCTAAAGTGACCCCCCAAGCATTGCCAGGCAAAAGACCCAATAAGCCAGGGTTACAGGAAGTGTTAAACTCATAAGGGAGTCCTCAGTAAGTTGAAGTTCAGAAGACAGAGCTAGAAGGAACTATTCTGAAGCTTGTGGAGCAAGAAACTGCCTAAGTGATGGTTTAACTATAAGCCACAAGACCAAAAATAAATAAATAAATAAAAAGCAAGAAGAAAAAGACAAAGGAGGAGGAGAAGAGGTAAAGACCTTTTTAAGATGTAGATCAATTCCCTTAGGCTAGCAGCTCTCAAATGTTTTGGTCTTAAGGACTCCTTAATACTCTAAATCTGTTGAAGGCCCCCAAATGAAGGCCGCGTGTATTCTCCTCCATAGCGAATCAGGCTTGGGCTATGAGACCGATAGAAAATGGCAGAAGTGAGGGTGTATGACTTAAGAAGCTAGATCATAAGAGGGACTCCAGGTTCTACCTGGTCTCTTCTGTTGTTTGCCCTGAAGAAAGCCAGTCGCCACGTTTTGAGTACCCTGGGAAAGACCTACATGAAAAGGAACTGAGGTTCCCTCTTAACAGTCAGTAACAACTGGCCAGGCTTGTGAGTGAGCCACTTTGAAAGCAGATCCTCCAGCCCCAGTCAAACTTTCAGATGACTATAATGTCATAAGAAACCTCTGAGCCAGAATTTCAGTCAAGGCACTTCTGATTCCTGGTCCACAGCAACCATGAGGGCTAACAAATGATGATTGTTGTTTTAAGCCATTTGGTTCTGGAGTATCTTGCTGTGCAGTAACAGATAATTAAATCATCTACCATATTAAAAATTAAAACAGAAGACTATTTAATATTTATTTGTTAATCCATATAGTATTCATTTATGAATACTGTAGTCATATTTATTATTAAGTCATATTTATTACTTCATTAAAATTCATAAATTTTCTTATTTGTTAAAAAGTCAAAAATAACATAATGTTATTGTAAAAATAATTGTGTTTTCCAAAACAAAACAGAACAAAACAGTGAGAAGAGTGACAGTATTTTACATTTTTTGCAAATCTCTTTAATGTCTAGCTTAATGGAAGACAGCTGGATGCTCAGATCTACTTCTGCATTCAATCAGCTGTGATAATGTTGTTTTGATTGAAGTATATGAAGGAAACCCAGCCTCACACAGATATGTAGCTGGAAAAGGGACGACTATTTTAATAGCTTTTTTCAGATAATTGTGGTTACGGGTATCCATGCTTTTCAAAAGTCTGAGGTACACCATTTTGCTTCTATGAAAGACCTACATTAGTGCCTGTTTTCATTAATCAAAAGAAATCCTAAGAGGATTTTCACTTTTTTGAGAAAAGGCAAAAAGTGAAAATACTGTTCACTCAACATTTGCTTTGCAGGGAGAACTTACCGAGGCAGCATGCACCCCAACCAATGAGAAGGGCACCACTCTGGGAACTAGTTCCCTGGGAACTACTTAGCATCAAGCTGCCGTAGCTTTGAACTGTGTCTCTGAGGTGCCTTCATTAGCAAGATGTGTCCTAAGGTATGAGAAAAGCCTAAGAGAAGGATTTTGGGGTCTGAGAACGCTCGAAAATGTTTCCATGGACATTAAAGGTAATTGCCTCTTTACACCTTTTTAGCCTGCAAAAGATTTCATAGGAACACTCTACTTTTGGATAGTGGGGGTAGCCTGTATTCTTCTTTGACACTCTACCAAAACTCAACAAATGGTAGTTTTTGTTAGTTGCAGTATAGCATCAGAAACTATATCAATGGGGGCACCTGGGTCGCTCAGTTGGTGAAGCATCTGACTTTGGCTCAGGTCATGATCTCATGGTTTGTGAGTTCGAGCCCCTCGACGGGCTCTGTGCTGACAGGTTGGAGCCTAGAGCCTGCTTCGGATTCTGTGTCTCCCTCTCTCTCTGCCCTCCCACATTCAAACTCTGTCTTTCTCCCTCTCTGTCTCAAAAAATAAATAATAAACATTTTAAAACATTTTTAAAAAGAAACTATATCAATGAACTTTATGTGCTCAATTATATTAAAAACCATTTGGTCTGCCTTGCACTTTGCGTGGATCTTTTGCCCATGCATGATTTTATAATCCTATGCGTGGGTCATTTGGAAAATATTATTTTACTAAGTTATGCAGATCTTCAGAATTGGATCTATTTCATGATGAAAACTAAAAATTCACATTTGCTAATAATAGCACTTTGTCTTAGCAGAAACTTCCTTAAGTATTGGGAGGGTGTTCAGCTCACTGGGGCAAATACAAGTTGTCAAAAATTCTGACTTTTGCTTGAAAGCTTTTCCTTTGGCCACAAATGCTGTCAATAATCTTTCTTGAAGTGACAAACTCTGTTCGTTTGGGAGAAAGTGTCCGTCCAAGAACCAAGTCTGAATAGCCATGGTTATTTGGTCCTCTTGAGCAAACACGGTGTTTCGTGGAAGGGCTAGTGCCGGTCCTCACTCCCTCCTCTCACACGTGCCTTTCCTCCAAACAAGCTCTGCGCTTCAGGACGCTTACCTTCCTGTTTGCCACACAGAATAGTAAAAAGATGTGCACTTTGGTCAAGAGTTCATAAAATTAATAATTTTTACTGCTTCATCTCAGACATCTTAGGTCAAAACTGGTTTCTTTCTCTCTTTTATTTTCGTTTGTTTGCTCGTTTTGTCCTGTGACATTTGGGCAGTGAAGAGTATCACGACGGCCAGTACGGTATCTGGTGCCAGCAATTTTACCCAGATGCCAACACAGTGAAGAAGGCAAATGACATCTTGGTATTAAAATAAAAATAATTTTGACCTTGCAGACACCCTCATAGGGTCTCAGGGTCTCAGGGACCACAGAGGTCCACAGATCTTACTCTGAGAACCATTTCTTTAGCGAAAAGGGTGCCTGCCATTCGATCCCTTGCGGCATTTATAGGTGAATGAGCTACATGCCAAGACGTACGTGCGCCAGGTCTTTGTGTCAAATTGTAATGGCCACCGTTGTGTCATAAGCGAGAAAATATATCACTAGACATCAGCTTATTCTTGTGGATGGGCTTGATATGAGACTATTTGTTTATTTAAGGGAGGTTAGTGTGTTTTCATGCTTCTGTTTGCCCCACTTGTCAAAGGTGTATGGATGGCGG